TATATTGTTAGAGATAAACCTATGTCTACTTCCTACAATTTGTAATACAAAATAATAATTGTAATTTTATGACAACATGAAATATTTTGTAAAAATTGGTATTTTACAAAAAATTGGTGGGTATTCCACGATTTCCAAAAGTATTTCGTCCGTATTCTACAAAAGGTTAAAACCGTCGTACTACATAATACGAATGAAATGGGGTGTGTTATGCATGGTATTATATTATGTTATACACACTACACAGGGTAGCAACAGTGCGCATGATCCGCACCCGGCCATTTTCACTCGTTGGCATGGTTGCGGGTTGCGGCCAAATGTTTGCAGTTATCGGATCAATACAGATTCTGCAAAAATGCGACGTTGCCGCGTCTAAGCGTTTGACCGAAAAGATTCACCCTCGAATCGATGTATACGTATAAAAGCAACACATAGAACAGACTAACAGAGTATTAAATTTTACCCGACTCAGATTTAATACAGGTATATTTATCAGCAAATAACAAAATTAAAAATCAAGAAAATAATAAATTAAAATAATCTGTTTTTTAGTTAATATTTATTTTAYAATGTAGTTTATTTCTCTTTTATTTTTTTTAATATAATAGGTAGGTAGTTATAATATAATTACTAATTATAACCACCTATCTATAATATTAAAAAATAACAGAGAAATATTTATTTTTTTTTTTTTAAAACAATTTTGTGCTTTTTTTTGTTACTTATTATGCTTTAAAATCTGAGCCCTAATTATTATTAGTAACAGTGACTTATTTTTAATTATACTATATCTGTACGACTGAACTGCCGATCACAATATTAGTTTTTCACTACATTAATATTTTGTTTATTTTAATCAGTTTACGTTGTATAAATTGTTTTTTTTCACTATATCTAACCAATTATTTAAATATTACCTACCTCATACATTTTAAACCGAATCTAAGAAAATAAGCCCAGAAATAAAAACATAGCAAATACTTCTACAAAAAATTAAAATTCTATGATTTTGTTTTAAATATTCCGAATTACCAGAATGATTGATATTATTTATTGATTAATAATTATTTAGTACAGTTTTTAATCTAGTGAATTAACGTTTATAAATAAGTTCAAAGTAAATATATAATTATTAACTTTTGTACAGAGATATATTATTGAATAATAATAGATAATATAAAACACCTATAAAAATACACGTAAGTATTATTAATCGTTTAAAATATTTATGTAATTGAATATGATACAATAATATTGTTAAAACTGTTGACCAACGTCATAATATGTAAATAGAAACAAAAATATAAAATAGGAAAATAAAATAATATTATTAGAAACATTGCGCCTAACTAAGTTAGTTTGGTAGATTTAATTGGGCCACATTGATTATACTACTATTACTATTTTTAGGTATTTATTAGTTAATAATAAAAAAAATCTAGTGTTATTACATAATACATTATTAAAAAATAACTAATAAAGAATTAATTAATTAAAAATAATTATGGTATAGCTGGGGCTTTTTTCTGCATACTATTTTATACATAAGTTTAAGAAGGTATTAGGTAGGTATTTATATATAAATATAGAGATTAACAAATAATAGCAATGAATATAGAAGTGAGAAATAATAATATACAATTTCGTTTAAATTTTAAATTTAAATTTAATTATAATAAATGTAGTGAGTATTATTAAAATAACAAGAAAACTGATCAAGTGTAGAGAATAAATCTAAATGTACTATAGCATTTCTAGCAGCCATTTAATTGTAAGCAGAGCTGCTGTGTAAAATATATTTAACAGATATAATGTGTTTTGGTCTTCTAGATTTAGAATTAACTTGATTATAAATATTTAATTTTTTTAATATTACAGGTTTACGGTTTCGTGCAATGGATATATTAAACAATTATTTTGAATGAAGGAAATAATAATTTTAACGCAGATACATTTATTTAAATTAATTTCCATCATTATTGTTTAATACTCTTAGAACTTTTTTAAAATTGATATGCCACAATTGGAACGTATAATTATCTAAAGATAACACAGTTTACAATAAGGTAGAACGTTGTAATATGCCTTCAGGTCTCAGGCGGGAATGTTTTTTTTGCTATGATATTATTATGTGAAAACTATGACATGTTTATGTATTCTTTTTTTTTTTGTTATACTAACATTCCATTCCTACCGATAACCAGAAGGCGGTAGACGCGCCACCCTCGAGGATCCATTGTATCACCTGTATAACTATATGGCAGGGTGGCTAAACTTATGCATTTATTAAGAGCTACTTAGAATATATTTAATCTATACCTATCAAAAGTGTTTATTAAAAACTAATATTAACAGTACATACTTACTTGTATAACATGAGTATATTTCACATTCAATTTCGAAATAAATCAACGTTTAGTGTAGAAGCGATATCATTGGATATCGAAGATCAGTTTATTATTTAAGATGACGCCACACCCGCATGTGTTGTCTCCGTCTAACAAGTGCGTAACATAGCAAAAATTTTTTCGCGTAGAAAAGAACCGAGAAAGCTACAGTTATAACTTACTAAGAAACTAAGTTTTCACTACATTAAAAGGAGAATTTTGTCTGTGCAATATCATTTTTATTTTATTTTTCGATATCAAAACTAAAAAAAAGTTATTCGTGCTTAAAAAACACAAAAATAATTTATTATGAAACAATAAGAACTTTATTTGTATAAGTGAAGTCGAAAAAATAAAAGCAAAATCGCACAGACAAAATTATCATTTTTATATGGTAAAAATTTTGTTTCTTATTTATAACTGTAGCTTTCTCAGTTCATTTCGTGCGAAATCATCAAGATATTCAATTAAGTGTAGTTAACTCAATAATTATTTATTAGTGATTGGGTAATGTGTAAATAATTTATCATTGGTTATCTTTCTTATAAAATGCCTATTGGCTATTGGCCATTCATAATATTGTAATAATTATGAGATTTATTCAGCACCGCCGATCACTCAATTTATAATAATTATATGTGTTATTAATTGCCAGAATATTGGTTTTGTATAAGCAGGTACTTCTTGAAAAGGTCAAATATAAACTCTAGCAGTTTTATTTTCTTACCTGTGTCAAATTTAAGTTTATCTCAAACAAATTAACTAAAAAATTCAAAACATAAAAAATCGGATATTTAAGTTGTTAACAATAACGCTCTGATGTAGGTACATTAGGCATCTATAGATGGTCAGTGAAAGGGGTGTGTTATATTTGTATTCAATAATCATTGTATATTATAAAAACGATTATGACCAAAGACGGTTTGACAGCCTGTAATTAGTAAATTGAATAACATTATTGTGATTAGAGTAATTAATTTTTCTTTTAGAGCATCTAGGTATTATTATTACAGTAGATTAAATTAATTTCTGCCAAAAAAAAAGCATTTGAATATGCACTTTAGAAATCTCAATAACTTACGAATAATATTTTTAAACTACAATAACATATCTAATATCATTATTCTTGGTTTTTATATGAATTTCGTCCAAATTTTAATTTTTTAATTATAGACATTTGAAATTTTAATTTTTTGTTAGTTTTTTATCGAATTTATTTGATGTTTCTCTGGTGTACATACACACCCAAATTAATATCAGAAAGTGTAGCTTGATATTCAAATTTTATAATTTTCAGTTGGAAAATGCTATTACACATAACATGGGTTATTCAAAATTATATCATACATGTTAGTTTAGTATGTTACTGTACATCTACTAAATATACAATAGTGTAAAGAAGTTTCTAATAAAGGGAGATCGTATTAGAATTCGCAAGAAATCGATCGTTTTAAGCCCCTATTGTATAATATAATATAATATAGTTATAAGATATAACCGCCGTCGACAGATACGTTATTATTACAACCCTGGCACCCGGGCGGTTCACGCATCACAGCTGCATCGATCGAGGGTACCATTACTAAGAAACAAAAGGAGCCCTTTCTCGCATGCGTCAGGGATGAAAAAATAACATAACTGTCGAAGATCGCAAACATGGCAACGTTGTAATATCCGTGCCATTTCCGTGGTCGGTAGTGTGACGCATTATCAGGTTATGACGCATTAAAGAGGGGGATATCCACAGGCCAAACGCCAAAATAAAATAAATCATAATGTACATGTCATGTACGTTATATTGTATGATCATATTCTTTGTTCCTTCCCCAAATTATTTGCACCCTCGTTATTTGGTTGGATCCCTAAGGACTGAGAGACGTGGTCGTGTTAAACGGATTTAGAGAGATCGCTTGAGTTTTATTATGAGAGTGAGATAAATGATACTGTTCCTAAGACAGCCAATACATAGTTTTAACCACGCTAGATCTTCGCAATAAACTCCATCCACTTGCATGCGTTATCATTCCTAATGCTACGTTTATTTCTACAAGTCTATTAATAGACTTATATAACTATCAAAACGATTATTTTGGATTCTGTCCCGCCGACGGTAAGACGGTAGATGGTTTTAGGTAGATTTATGAGGCGGCGGCAGACACCAGCTCATCTCGTTATATCGGCTACCATCGTAGTCGGCACGGTAATGTACCACTGCGGTTGCGGTAGAAGTATTGTAAAATTTAAAATGCACCCATTATTACCATACGCCTATAGAGATAGAGTATAAACTTTAATATGAAACGACGCTTTTAGGCAAGTTATTGTAATTAAAAAATATCGTACCCATCTAGGCCATCTATTCGAGAGCGGACGAATTAGATAGCAGAATAGAATTCTAGATAGTTCCAGAAAACTACGTGCCAGTGATAATATTTTTGATATCGGACTGGCCCGTGTACACTGTCTGTCCTCCCCACTATGATGTCATTTTTAAATGTGTGTGTTCGTATTTCGTGTGTTCGCCGCTCGGCGCTCGCCTGTAGATCGGTCGAATCGGCGGCAGCACACGGTACCGGACGCCGGTGTTTCACATCTCTTACAGACCACCTTTAAGTCACATGTCTCCCGTTTACTCTACGACATTTTTCTTCAACCGTTGACATTGGACAATCGCTGCTGCCGCAGCGTTAATAGTTTTTTACTTCAGTTGAAACATGATGCAATCAGCGGTCTCAAAATTTCATTTTCGATAAATATTTAACAAACGCCGCGATACGCGGCGCCGTTCGTGTTTGTGCGCGTGCACGAGTGGCGCGCTTGCGTCCTTCCGGTCACTTGCCATCGTTTAGGCCGACCGGTGCGCCGACGCCGCATTATAAATTCGACTTCCACCGAAACATTTTGCGTTGACCAAACTTCTCGTCTATTACAGTGTCCGCCCCTGCCATCTATTTTCAATGTTTAAATTTCGTTCAGCCTTCTCTACGAATAACGAATTCAACAAGTGTTGTTTTCGCTTGAGCAGAAGTACACAGATACGTCGCCTTCTCGGCGCGCGTGTAGCCCGTTGATTGTCATTGAACTTGGTGATATCAGCTTTCACATATTATTATTTATTCCAACACCAGTCGTTTATTTTATCTTCGTATTTTAATAAAACATTGTTCCCGTACCTGTCATTTTTCGACGTATTGGTTTTTTGTCTGTCAGTTGTATTTTTTTAAACGTAATCGTTAATCTGTCTGTGTTTCCTTCTTTCTGTTTTGATTTTCGTTTTAATTTATTAATTTTTATACTGATATTTTGATTTCCGCGTCTATATATTCTTAACGTTTTCCACTTTTGCCGCTGACATCAGTCGAACTCTACAACTACGACCAATTGAAGCAACGCACAGCCGTCACACATCCAATCGAGAAGGAGCTGGAGAAACTTGAGTTGGTAACTATAATATTTTAATATTACAAATTTTTTTTTTAATTGGTTTTGATTTACTGTGCCTCTATGGGCTTTGAGATAGATCAAAACAATGGAATTCAGACAAAAACAATAACAGCATAACAATTTTATTTTTTTGAGAATTTTTCTATTGCCTTATTGAACAAAACCAACATCTCACCTATTAGTATATTAGATTTTACTATATATCCATATCATGAGCTAAGTTATTATATAATTATTGCACCTTGCACGATTTAAGATTTAAAGCCTAAAAAATTTATCTTAAATCATGGTGCCTAATAAAAATTATTACCATTATTATAATTCTCATTATAATTATTAGTTTTAAGTGAATATGTATGTATATATACCCATACAGTACTCAAGTATTTTGTAGTAGATGGCATATACCATTAAGTATATTTATATTATATATATTTTTTTAAATATATAGTTACTCAATTGAGTCAATGCTAATATCAAGTTTAATACGTATCACCCTAATAACTCAGTAATAACCATGTTTTATACATAGAAAACATCAATGGTGTGCATTAATTTTTATATTGTTTTATCTATATTTTATACCCGTACCTACCGTGTGCTATATAAATATATTTTTTTCATCAAATATTAATTATATCCAATCAGGTAGATATTAGATATTATAAATGTACAATGTATTATCTAGATTGAATACCTAGCAATGATATTTTAATTGTCGAACGTTGGATTTACATTATATGAATCAAGATAAAAGAAGCTGGATATTCAATATGACGTAGGTGCAGTGATCCTAATTTGTCATTTGAAATTAAATTTAAACAGTTATTTTCATGTAAATTATTTTAAATCCACTATTGATATATCTTATTTTATAGTCTACAGGCTTGTTGGTTAGGAATAAGGATGTCAGCCGTCAGGTACATATGTACCTTCATTAAAACAGTCAAAATATTAATTAAACCTATTCAAAATTTTGAAGAATTAATTTTTAAGACAATATGCATACCTATGTATTTCAAATATTCAAGAATAAATTGTGATTGGTAGGTAGGTACATAAAGTTTGAACAATGGACACAGTCCAGATAATGGTCAATTCATCAACCGAATGGTTGATAGGTATGAAGACTATAGAAGGTCTGTATTAACATTATTGTAGGCCCTTGGCACCTAGCATATTTTTTTCCTTTTATTAAATCTACTTCTGTACATTTCTTTCTATACACGAGAATTTTTAGTATAACTTCTATTCTAATAATGTAAATATAAACATTTATATATGTATTATAATCAGGGTTTCATTTATCATACACTTTTGCAGTGACGTAGCCAGGGGGGGCTAAGAGGGCTATAGCTCACCCCATTAAATGTGTCGAMCTTAGAATTTTATCAAGATTAAATATTATTTTCTGCCATAACAATAATTGAATACAACAATAAATAAATAAATGAAAAAATGTATACCTATACTTATAAATAGTTAAGTGTAAAAAAAAAATATTGTATTTGTATTTTTTGTATTTTTTTGTGAGACTTAGCGGGGGGCTAAGTGGTTAGTAGGCCCCCCCCCCATACATAATTCCTGGATATGCCACTGCACATTTGTATGCCCATATGTGATCAACATTTTATCGATTTGTCCAATCTGATTATTACAGGTAATTACGAATTTAATAGCCAGATAGGTACCGAACATTGATGTTTATATCTATATAAGTAATATTATTATTTTTGTTGTAAATTCTTAAGACTTAATATTTTACTTGTTGTGATAATACATGCAGATGGTATATTAATTTATAATAATAATAATAAATAAATAAAAAACTTGTAGCCACACATTTTTATAAGCCCTAGGCACAGTGTCTATAAGCCTATCCAGCCCTGACTTTAAGACTATGATGGGTCTATACCTAAGAGAAATAGGGTTTACACTTTTAATACCAAGACTTAAAATGTGATGATGAATATATGTTAACTTTCGATAGACATCTAAAGTAGACACATTACTAGTAGGCATTAAAATTTGGACTCAAGTATTGGGAACTAGTATAGTTACGTTGATTTTAGTACATTCTGAATGCTTTATATTACCATGAATCATTGCACTGAAATAAATAATGTGACATTTGACTAGTTATTATAGAAATATATAAACATGTGAAGCTGGTATTTCTACATCTAAGTTTTTTGGTAAGTATACTCTGTTATAAATAGATGGCTTGTGATCCACACATCAGTTATTGAGTTGTGATTGGTGAAAGATAATCTACTATAGACTAAATTGTAAACCAAACATAATTTGGTTGTTTGTGCACAAGTCATCTTTTTTTGGAACAGAGTAAAAGTTATTATTAAAATGTAAATATATATATATATATATATATAAATGTAATGGCCTTAGTTGTCAAAGCTAGAAATTTATAATTTCAAGACCAATAATAATTTTTTAAAAAACATTTCCTTAAATTATCTCTCCTGTCTTCTATATCCTATACCCTTTGTCTTTGTTAACTTCCAATCACTCAAAATTAGAAACTAAACTACTACAGTATTACCTAATCTATTAATTTTTAATCCAACCTATTTTTTAGTTTATTGTAGGTAATTATGTGGCACTGCAAATATTTCAAAAACTATTGGTATTCAATGTTTTCTATCAAAAACTCTTATTGGTATAACTAATACACCTTTTTACCTACCTACTATACACAATTATCTTTCCATCATTCGATCAAGACCATAATGTAGCTAAGGTCCTAATAATCTATAAATCTTATATTCTTCTTCTATTACATCACATTTATCATTTAAAAAAATTTTTGGTGGAGCATCACCAATATTTATATTTTAATTTTTGTTGTCTTATAATGGAATATTTAGTAAATCAATTATAATTTTTATTATTATAGACATAATATTAATGGGTAAAAAATCATTTTATGTTATAAGCTTAAACCTTATAAATAGCTTGGTAGGTAACTGAATATGATTACATATATTTTCCTAATGGAATAAATAAAATAATCGATTTTATGTTTTTTTTTTGTATTTATTTTATTTGATCATGGCTGTTGTGAACCGCAAAGTGTAAAAATTAGAAACATTTGACAGTTTTTAGTTAAATAGTATAAGATGCTAGTTTCATCATGCAATATTGCAACATTCATTTAATACAATTAGGTATAATAATTATTGCAATTATTACTCATGTTGATATATGTGATTAACTAAATTTTGTGTTACAAAAATAGTTGGAGATGGACATATTAAACGCATTTCCCTATAAACGTGTTATTGTTAAACCAATTTCTCATTTCCATTAGCATCGAGCAGCATTATTTAGAAACGACTATTAAGTTGTTAAATATATGAATCTAGGAAAAAAGCATGATGATAAAAGGCATATAGGTAGGTATGACAAAAAGCAATAGGGAAAATAAAATAATGTAATTTTTATGTTTAAACTTGTGCCTAATCATGTAAACCTTATACTATGAGATACCTATAGCTGACGCAAAATGTGGTAGATCTCGTTGATTAACACATAGGTACTCTTTACATAATTTTCTTGATTAAATTAAATTTTTTATATTAATGTAGATTATATTGATCAGGAAAAATTACTTTCTTTTTATACACGGAAATAATTTGACTCGAAGCTTTTGAACATAAATTCGTATGTCGATTGTGTTTTTTTTTCAAGTGAACAAAAAGCTTAAATAATTAAAAATAATTTATGTAAGCAATAATACATTTTTTTTAAAGGTGTGAAATTTGAGTATACGATATGCCGTAAGGTACATTTGGTGATATGTAATTTTAAAGATATCATTGTACTATACCAATAACCACGATTAAAGATATACAGGTAGCACATCGACTACTGATAAGGTGAAATACAAAATTACAATTGCAATAATTAATGTGTGGCGCTCCAAGCGGAAATATTCCATATACCTAATAAATGTTTTATCTAAACAGTTTTAATAATTTTATCAATGACGATAGTAAATTCATAAATATTAAATTCATATTTCATATTATTAATAAAAATAAACAGTAAATAGTATAGTATGCCCTTTCTAATAAATGTAAAACATATTTTAACGCTTAGTTATTCATTATATATTTATATGCCAATTAACAAACAATATGTGAAAAGTACATAATAATATTGGATTTAAAACATAAGTCATATAAGGAATAAGGATGATTAACTGTATAAATATAAATACTATTAAAAAAAAAAAAATAGGTATAAACAAGAATTTTAACATTTAATTAATTTAGACAACTTTTTTTAGTTTTATGTTTTTCAAAATTTTTATCAAAATTAAAATACATAAAAAGGCGGTAAAATATAAAATACATTATATTATCTATATTAGTATATTACCTTCTTATCATAATAATATGTAATATAGTTTAAAATTAGTTCTAAATTTCGTCACATGGGCGCCACTGGTTAATTATTAACAGCTGATTTTTATAGTCACTTTGTAAATCAGTCTAGAAGCGGTTTACTATAGGGCGATGTGCAACCTGTATGTCTTCAATCGTGCTAATAACCGAGCGAATTATGAATTTATGATATAATATTTTATTGATATTTTATCTAAATATTTAGGCATACTCCATGTAGGTAATGGGTATGAGTGGTTTTTCAATTTTAATATGTTTAAAAAATTTGGTGTTGCGAGTACTCGCGATTGAAGTGAAATTCCTTAACGGTGGGTTTCGAAAAAAAATCGTCTTGACAAATACATTTCTATAGTCTGTTTTATATAAAAAGAAATAAATATATAGAAGAAATACTCAAAAGCTGATTTTGGACGACCTGAATTTAAACCAAAACTGCGTAACTTTCACACTTTTTTATATTTGCAGTAAAGAAATTTCACTTCGATAACAATTATTTAAAAAAAAATGTACTTACCTATGTGCTTTTGCTTTAATTATTTCTTACTGACGTATTAACTGATCATATTATAT